CTTAACTACTGAGCCGTCTCTCCAGCCCTATGACTAACATTTGTTTTGTTTTGTATGTGAAAGAGAGTTTCTTTGTGTAACGGCTCTGGCTGTCCTGGACTCACTCTGTAGAGTAGGCTGGCCTTGAACTCACAAAGATCCACCTGCCTCTGCCTCCCAAGTGCTGGGATTAAAGGCATGTACCACCACTGCCCAGCCATGGCTAGCATTTTTATTAGATTCTTACCACTTGAAAGTTTTATTATTGTATTCTGTAACTAGGTCATATGCTCATTCTATTTTTAGTTATTCTAGGAATTGCTATTTTGTTTTCTCTAGTACTGTACCATTTTATATTCCTATGATCTGTGCATGAGGACTCCAATTTCTCCATATCCTCTCTAAATGTTAGTTTCTGTTTTCTTGTTTTTTAGTTCTTGTGTTCTTAGGTCTCAAACCCAGGGCCTGAAACATGCTAGGCAAGAGTTTTATTATTGACTTGTTCTCTAAGCACTTTTGGGGGTTCTTTAAAACAATTTTTTTAGGTTATTTTATTTTATGTGCATGACCGTTTCATCTGCCTGTATGGGTATGTATCACAGATGTACCTGGTGCTTTTGGATGTCAGCAGAGGGGATTGGATCTCCTAGAACTGGAGTCACTAATGATGGTGAGCCCTCATGTGGGTGCTGTGAACTGAACATAGGTCCTTTGCAAGAGTAAAAGATGCTCTTAATCTCTGAGTTATCTTAATCTCCCAGCTCCCTGAGACTTTGCCTTAAAAAGAAAAATTTTAAAGCTCAATTTGATTTTTTTTTTTTTTTTTTTTTGAGACAGGGTTTCTCTGTGTAGCCTGGCTGTCCTGGACTCCCTCTGTAGACCAAGGTGGCCTCGAATTCACAGCGATCTGCCTGCCTCTGCCTTCCCGAGTGCTGGGAGTAAAAGCGTGTGCCACTACACCGGGCTGGTTCTGGTTATTGTTATAGAATCTCATACTTGGTGGAACTTTCCATATTCCTTCGACTTTTTACTGCGTCCACTTGTATTTTTTTCCTTACAGATTATGTTTGTACTAAAGACCTTGTTCTCTCTCTGCAAGGCTGTTCCTGTCATTTGACTTTCCCTCTTGGTTGTTAGCCCGACAATTCTGTATTTTTTAAGTACCTAGTAACTTTAATGAAATGACAGATATTATGTTCTAGGTGATTTTTTTTTTTTAAAGAATGAATTCACTTCAGCCATTGCCAGGTACAGGGAGTGGGCCTAATCTCCCAGAACTGTTCAAGCACAGGGTTGTGGTTTTGGCTGTCTCACCCCTGCCTTGAGTTGGAGCCCTCTAGGTTTCTAGACAAGTGCCCAGGATTTTACCAGGACTTTCCCCTCAGGATCCCAAATGTGACAATTCTGGTCTACTCAGGCAGCTTCTACCGGTTCCATAGCTGCAACTGTTCTCTCACTGTTGAGGCGTCTCCTTTTACATGTATTTTGTGCATTCTTGCTTCATTGTGCATGTTGAAGTGGTTTACAGCATTTTGCATAGCAATTTTCCAGCGTTCAGATTGGGAGTTGGGCTCAGGTTAGCTCACTTCGTCTTTGTGAAGGCACTGAAGGGGTTTAAGTGGGTATGGACTATCTGGCTGTTCTTCAGGCAGACTTGTTGGCTGTGCTAAGGATAGACTGGAGACTGCTGTAGTGACAATCTCATGACATGAGAGAAGAGCTAGCTCAGAGTCAAAAGACAGAACTTAATTGCCCAGAAGTCATGATGACAGTTGGGCTCAAGAAGAGGGTTTAAGCTTGATGCTAGAATTATCCCAGAACCAGGAAGCTGCCAGATGGTAGTGAAATGCTAGCCAGAGCGGGATCAGAGAGAACAGATGTACAAGAGCCTTACGGTTAGAAGTGGCAGCAGCAAGGGAGGAGATGCGGCTGACGAGCACGTCCAGAGGGTAGGGTGCCTACCAGGAGAAGCACTCTATTACTGAAGAGATGGGAGTCAAGAAGTTGGAGTGGGGAGCAATATGTGGGTCTAGGCATTCCGAAAGGTCTCCATTGTCAGGCAAAGCCTGAGACACAGTAGCACCTGTGGAGTGATTAAGTGCCAGGACAGGGACCTGGGGCATCCTGACTACACTAGAGAAGGGGTCAATTGCCTGCAGGCTCTGTGCTGGGCTCTGTGTAAAATTCAGATCACAGTTCCTGCTCTGAAGAAGCGTCCCACCTAGAGATGCTGAGCAGTAGCCCTGGGTGAGCCAGAGGCAGTGGGGGGGGGGGAATCTGAGCTGGCCTCAAGGTGCTGGATCTGGAGCTAAGGCCCCTACTGTGGTTCATAACAGGCACCATGACAATGCTGCTCTGAGGGTGGGGGGTATGGCGAAGAGGTGAACATTTTCCTGAAATGCTGGTATTGTTTAATCTTGAGAGCAAGATTATGCAGATAAGTGTCTATGACTGACAGTTAATCACCTCTGTAGGCCTCTCAGTGCTTGGTCCTTCCGATAGCTTGAACAATATGTTTGTTTGGTTTTTTTTTTTTGTTGTTTTTGTTTTATGTTTGGATGTGATTAAGAGGGGTCTGTTTTTTCTTGACCCCTATCATGGTAAGGGCGGCCTGGTCTGCTGTCAGTGTTTTGTGAAATTGTTTAACAGAAAAATCAAGCCTCTATCTGTGGGGACCAGACCAGTTCCTAATAACCCCAGTGTCTCTATCTGCGAGCACCAGGCCAGCTCCTAGCTGCACTGAGACTTGGCAGATAGGACATACCGGATCCTAGGTGTTGGAAAATGCTTTTCTTTCTTACTTGAACATCAATATGGTGATTTCACATGTGATTCCATTTATGGTTCCATTTAACTGTATGCATCAACTCAAGAGCTTTTTAAAATATATTTTCACGTGCTGTATGTATTATGTGTGCAGGCATGGGCATACCACATTGTGTGTATGTAGGTCAGAGGACAAACTTGGGTGCCTGTCTTTGCCTCCCATTTGTTGTTAAGTGCTGCATACTCCCGGCTAGCTGACTTGCTAGCTTCTACGGATTCTCTTGTCTTGGTCACATATCTTGATTGTAGGGGTACTAGAATTACAGATGCATGCTAACATGCCCAACTTTACTCGGGTCCTGGGGTATATAGTTCCTGTGCTTGCATAGCAATTGTTTTACCTACTAAGCCATCTCCACAGACCAATATAAACACTTGTAACTGCTCAGATGCTTGGGTTAGCATCAGGAGCTTGGGTTCTGTTTTTCCTTCCTTTCAGTATGCAGAAACCTCTGCTGTCCTGGTGCCTACACTCAAATAATGCTGGAGATGCTATTTGATCATAGTTTCTAACACATCTCAAAAGCTCTCTTTGCTGCTCCCTTAACCTGTCTCAGCCAGAGATCTCATTTCTTTTGCAATTTATCTACTTCAAAACAAACTTGCTAAACACGTCTCATCTATAGGATATTTTTCGAGCCCCTGTGTTTGGCCTCCTCCAGGTCCTAGTTGTTCCCAGAAAGCACCATCCCCAATTAAGTTTTCCTGGGATTTTCTGAGGAAATACTGCCCTTGCTCACTTTACTTTGTGATGATGTCTTCCTTGACATTTGTTTTTACAGTATAGATGGTCTCTTTCCTCTAAATCTATGAGCCAGTTATCAGGAATGGGGCTTTGTTTTTGTGGTGCCGGGGATCCAGGTCCTTGCACATGCTAGGCAAGTTATGGGGCAAGTTCTCAGCCATTGAGCAATAATCTCAAAACCTTTAGGTTGATTCCTTCTCGTCAACCTGTTTACAGAACTTGCCACAGCTCTGCAGATGAGGAACTGGGTCTTCGCAAGAGAATGCCAGAAGGGAAGGTGGGGAAAGTGCTTCTGTCACCTTGTGTTACCAGATGACTAAGGTTAGCCGTTAAGGTAAGGCAGACTCCAGGAAGCAGCTCCTGGCAGCAACACCAGCATCAATGGCAGTGGCTCATCAGGGAGAAACCTTTTGTTTCAGTTTGTCTGAGGTCAGGGCTAGGGATGAGAGTAGGAGGGGCAGCTGGAGCAGCCAGGGATGGCCAGTTGGCAGAGCCTGGATACCAGGATGAGGAATACTGGGCTTCATCCTGAGGACACCAGGTAGTGAGGGCTCTTAGGTAGGTGGGCTGTGGGGTCCTTGGCTCACATCTGGCAGTCTGGTTTGTAGAAATAAGGTAGAAATTAATCTGCAGAGGTTGGGTGGGAGAGGAATGAGACAAAATGAAGGAGGGGATGGCCACATCTGGTCTGGGGAGATAGTGCAGAAACCCCAGGTTTTGTGGGGAGGGTGCTTGTGGCTTGGCATAGATCATAGCAGAGGTACCTGTAAGCTCCGGGTGGCTTGTGGAGTATGAATTCCTATGTGCCCATGAGGAACTTATACCAGTTAACTAAGCACTCCCATAAACTGCCAGCAAGTAGCAGCCCAGAGAAACCTACAAGAATCAAGGTCACCCTGATCTTGAGGTTTCAGGAGGCGAGGGGCTTGAACTGAGTTGAGATCTAGGTGCCAAGGAGCCTTCTGTAGGAAGGGTGAGGACTCACTATGTTTGTGCATAGGCAGGCTCCAGAGACGAGATGCCAAGGGCAAAGAAGTGAGGAAGAACAGGTAGGCCCAGGGAACTGGCTCCAAACGGCAGTGCCACAGTACCAGAGGCCAAGGAGCCTGCCTAGTGGAGCCATCTCTGTTCAGCTTTTTCAGGGCTGTGCCAATGACCTATGCTGCCGGTCCTGGGTAGAGACATAAGCAACTCAGAGCCCACAGTTATGCTGCGCCATTCTCAGAAAGTAGAGGGAGACACAGCCAGTCTACTCCAAACGGTGTGTCCTGACGCCTATGTGCCTCAGTGGGAACCCTGTTCCTCAGCCCAGCTCGAAGGACACACCTTAAAATTCAGCTGGTAAGATGGATGAGCTACTGTCGTCAGCCTCCACTGTCAGGGCCTGTCCAGAACTTATCAGTCCCCCTCCATACCGCATGGAGGGGTGGCAGTGAAGAGACGCAAGGAGAACAGAGCAGAAGATAACCTTTATTGGAATTTTAACGATGGCAGCATGAGTAAAAGGCTCCTCCCCTGAAACATGCCATCCTCTCTGCTCTCGGGGCTCAGCACAAGAACGAGACCCCATCCTGCATGTCCCTCAGAAGGCAGGGTGGGGAGGGAACGGGGGGGTACTCTACACCAGGGGAGCTGGGACAGGAGGGAAGCCGTGCACCCTCACCTCTTAGAGTGATCCTTCTTCCCTGGGACCTGGTGTTGATCCCAGACCCTGGAAGGGGCTGGCAGACAGGGCTCATGCAACAATGAGTGGACAGAAGGTGGCACAGAAATGCAGTCCCATCACCCTTTGGCAAGGGCAAGAGAGCTAAAAAGGGCCATGCTGTGGCCATAGAGGGTCCAAATGTTAAGTATTTGCAGTGTACATACACGAGGGTAAGAAGGGCTCCCTCTGCTCCAGGCCATGCCTGAGGATCAGAGAGAGGGAAGCACAGATGGCATTGTCATGCCAGGGGCATGGGTCTGAGCCAACCATGCCACCTGAGCTGGGGCTTGTTCTACTCCTTGGCGCGGCCAATGATGGTGAGAATATATAGGAAGATGTTGATGATGTCCGTGTACAGGTTCAGAGCTGCAAACACATACTCTTCCGGGCTCAGGGACAGCTGCTTGTTCCCTAGGAGCAGCTGGGTGTCCACTGCCAGGAACTAGGGGGGAAAAGACACGGTTGGTATTAAACGGCTTATTCGCTCACCCGGCACCCCAGCAAAGGCCTCCCAACACCCTCACTCACGCAGGTGAAGAGCAGAGCGCCCAGCGAGGCATACACGATCTCCAGGATGCGGTTCCGGATGAAGATGCAGAGTATGGCGAAGATGAAGAGCACCACCACACTCACCAGAAGCACCCCCATACAGGAGGTGAAGTCATAGCGGGTCTGGGAGGAAGGGAAGAAGGTGAGAGGCTGTGGGTGTGGAGGACTCCGGGGCTACAGTCCCGTCTTAGGCCCCCCCTCACCTGCAAGGAGAAGATGACCACCGTGAAGCAGACAGCTGTGGTGATGCCCACTGCCATGATGACTGCCTCCGTGTTGTAGAAACTGGCTATCATGCCCACCATGTAGGACAGGCTGACGGTCAGGATCGACTGCAGGGGAGGATCACAGGGGGCCTTGGGTGTGTGGCACCGCTCTGGGTTCAACCCTGTGCACCTCCCTTTCCTGTTCCACAGGCACAGGGGGACTGGGCTCAGCTTTGGGAGTTACCAGAGCAACAAGGTTCCAGGGATGCTTTCGCCGGAAGTCCCCACAACAGCTGAGGACAATGAGGGAGATGAAGAAGATGGCATAGGAGACATAGTAGGTCCAGACGTTCTCCCGGACAAAGCCCTTGACTTCCCCAACGAAAGTGAAAACGGCCACAGTCGACAGGGTCACCGACAGCTGCAGGGTCAGCACCAGGAACACCTGGGGAAGGAGGAAATCAGAGCCTCCCCAGGGCCGCCACCCCATGACTCCTCCTACCCCACACACTTGCCAGGCCCAACCTTTCTGATGAAGGCCTGCCGAATGTTTTTGTCCCAGTTGACGGCGGGGAAGTCCTGGTTGTCATAGTAAGATGGAGGCCCTTCTTCCTGGTAGTTCCCATGCTGAGGTGCTGGGGGCACAGAGGCTGGGTCAGGGTACCTTGAGAGCAGTTGAAACCCCGCTCCTGCCCCCACCTTTCGCTACACTTACAGCCGGGGTCCTGGAAGGGTGGTGGCTGTCCATAAGGGTTGGGGGGGAAGGGGCTCTGTGGGTATGGCCCCTGTGGGTAGCCTCCTTGAGGGTAGGGTCCCTGAGGGTAGCCACCTTGTGGGTAGGGGCTGGGCCCATGGGGGTAACCTGGCTGACCATAGGGATTGGGCTGGAAAGGGGCCTGTGGGTATGGGGCCCCAGGATAGGGAGGCTGAACATAGGGAGGCATAGGGGCCTGAGGCCCCACAGGATAGCCAGGGTTGGGGGGAGGATAGCTGTCCCCAGACACCAAGAAACTCTTTTCATGGGACATGGCCTCGGGTTCTGTGGCTGCCCCTAGAGGAGAAAAAGAGAACAGTTAGCTAGCTCTGACAGACTGGAACCAGTGACAGCCCCACCTGCTGTGGAACCCAGGAAGGGGAAAAGAAGAAGCTGGACCATGACCTTTGTACAGGGCTGTAAGGAGCCTCTGAACCAGGAGGCACAGAGCACTGTTGGGTGAGGTTGGTCGGGGGGCTGATGTGGACCCTTAGAAGGGGCTGCTCTTGATCGCCCTAGGGGTGGGGGATGGGAGGAAGAGTGATGGCTGTCACCCTCGGCTTGGAGCTTGGGAGATGCCTCCTCACCGCTGCAGGTCTTTCGGGTCAGAGCTCAGCAACGAAGGGCCTGGTCTGGGGGCGCGGCGCAGTGGATAGGGAGGCGTGGGGGTGTGCCCTGGCCCTCCCTTTCCCATCCCGCCTATTAAGCAGCTTGAAGGGGCCAGCGCTAGCGGCTATTTCTATCCCAGGAAATCCCCAGGCCATCTGTGATCAGCGGGAGCCCTGACCCTCCTCCTAAGCACAGGGCCCAATGTCCCTAGCTCCGGGTGCTGAATGCAGGCCTGTATTGGCTGCTAAGGTGTCTGCTAGTAGGGTACGCCAGGAACAGCGGGGTGCGGGGGTGTGTGGAGGATGGAAGCGACCAGAGGGCGTTCAAGGGAACAAAGCGGGGAAGGGGACGACGGGGGAGGGGGCGGTGGTCACAGAATGCATCCCGAGGGCGGATGGGCCCTCTTGTCGGGTTGGGGGTCGCTGGGCCTCGGGTCTGAGCCGAAAACAGCGCGCCGCCCCCTCCCTCTTGCTCAGAGCCGCCAAGCTCCCCACCCCCAATGATGCCAGCAGTCTGGGCGAGCCCGGCCGCGAGTCCTGTCCGAACCAACTGACCCGAGGCGGCCGTGCTCAGTAACGCATGGAGGGAATGGCCGACTGGCAGGGGGCTGAAGCGTTGACACGCTCCTGAGATTGGTCGGGGGACTCACCGCTCTCGGGGAGTCAGAGGCCGGTGCCTACGGTGACCGCTGCGCAGCCGCGCGCGGTGATGGCCGGTGCGTCCGCACCTGCACCCTCTGAGCGGCCGGGTTGCTTGGGCCTGCGCCTTCGGCTGGCGAGACGCAGAGGAGCCTTGTGACTGGGCGGGCCTTGTGACGGGGCGGGGCCTTGTGACGGGATGGGGCGGGGCGGGGCGGGACCTTACCGTCAGGGCCAATGTTGTGACCAGTCCCAGCGCCCCTGTGCCTACCGAAACTGCTCCGCACAACCTGGCTAGGCAGTCAGCGTGTCCTAGGTCAGAGTCCTGCAGCCTGCGTTTCCTGACGAGAGCTGGTTGGGGTCTGTCATGGGGCTGACGATTTCTGGAGGCATGAATCTCTTTTGGTTTGTGGCTCTCTATCGATGGATTCAGGGAGTTAATTCCTAAATCCAGGATTTACTGAAGCCTCCAAGCACTCCATCCCTTCTGGGCTTTGTTGTTTGAGACAAGGTCTTACTCTGTAACTACTGGTAGCTTGGAACTCACTATGCAACCCAGGCTGGCCTCAAACCCTTGCTAATCCTCCTGCCTCAGCCTTCCAGCTACTAAGATTACAGTCATGATCTTACTATACCCAGACCCTTATTTGCTTTAAAACACAGCATTTACAACTGGGTGGTGGAGGGGGCATGCCTTTAATCACACCAGGAAGCAGAGGTCAGCCTGGTCTACAAAGCAAGTTCCAGGACAACCAACCAGTACTTCATAGTGAGACCCTATCCTGAAAAGACAAAAACAAGAAGCCACAATTCACTTTCCCTCTTTTATCTGCACCTCTTCCAGACTGAGAGACTTAATCATTTAACTGTTCCATTCTCTCATACTCAGCCTCTTGTCGTTTGTCTCACATCCTCAAAATAAATTTGTTAGGAAGTGGAGGTGGGGCCAACCCCCTGCCTCAGTTCTGGGGTGGAGGGAGGGCTTCCTGAGGAAACTTTGTTCTGGGTGGTCTCCAGGTCTTCATGGCTTGAGGATGTTCCAGTTCTCCTCTGGTTCTCAGCAAGGCCTTACAGTAAAGGCTGGGAAGGGATTCTCTCCTGTGTCCACAAAGCACTGACTGTTTAACAGCTGGATCTAGTGAGGGTGTGCCCTGATACGTAGCTTTTGCACAGGATCCTGGTATAAACATGGCCACTGTGGCTGATTACAAATTCTCATTGGGTTCCGTTGCTAAACGGATAAACGCCCTGACAAAAACTGGCACAGGGGAGGAATGTTGTATTTGGCTCACAGCTCCAGGCCGCAGTCCATCATTTCTGTCAAGGCAGAAACTCAAGCTGCTAGCCATTTCACTTGAACAGCTGAGAGCACAAAACTGTGCTGCTTGCTTGCTTGCTCTCAGTTAGCTCTCTTAAACAGTCCAGAGCAATGGTGCTATACACATTCAGAGTGGCTATTCCATCTCAATTAACAAGAAATCCCTTGAAACACGCCCACAGGCCAGCCCAATCTAGATATTTCCACTCCAAGACTTTCCCCTTGGATGATTCTAGGTTGTGTCAAATTGACAGTTAAAACTAACTAGCACACAAGGCATTGCCAGTTTAACATCCAGTTCGCAGAAATTGCCTAAGATTTAACCATGGCAGTAATGTGAGCTGTTTTAGTGCATCCTGCTTGTGGCAGGACCTCTGTAGCAGGCATTTATCTAAGCACAGTGCGCTAGAGGGTAGATAAGTCCCATAAGAGGAAAGCATAGAGCGTACTGAACAGGCTTTTGTGAAAACAGAACTGTAGGCGTTGGTTCTTCAAATGATACTTTATTTGGGGGTTCCTTAAACCTTACACCTCCCTTCCAAACCCCCAACCCCAGGCGGGAAAAAAGAAAGTTGGAAGGGAAAGGGGACGTAGCCCTCTTTAGGTCTTCCTGCTGGGTAAGGTAGGATTCTTTGGGGGCAATAGCAATGTCTGTCTTCAGGACATCCAGAAGTCCAGGTAACCAGCAAGCCAGCAAGCCAGCCAGCCAGCCAGCCAGCACAGCAAGCAGTCCTTCACCTCCTCCAAGCCACCACATTTTCTTCCTCTGGGCTATCATATTTATGCCCCTCAAAGTTCTCAGAATTCAACTAATTTCAGCTGGCAAAGACCAGGCCCCTGCACTGAGCAATAGTGAGCTGTGAACAAACGAAAATCCCACACTTGGGATTATAACCAAAACATGCTGATATACCATAAACCAAAACGGCCACAACCGAGAACCTCATATCATTTGTGGGATCTTTAAGGAAAATAAAACAACGAACACAAAGTTGACTACAGGGCCTCGGAAGGAGCCTGGACAACTGAGAGGTCCTTTGAGTTTTTAGCTCCATGTTAAGGCTGCCACTAAGCCTTAACATGGCTGGCTGAGGGAAATCAGGGAGAAGGGATGCTCACGTAGCTCTGTCAAACAGAGTAAAGCTGGTGCAGGGAGACTGGTATAGGCAGGAGCTGAGGACAGGGAGGTTGGGGCTGAATAAACACCAGGATGATGTGTATGGAAAGGAATTAAAGGGATAGGAAATGGGGGCTGGAGAGACAGCTCAGAGGTTAAGAGCACTGGCTCTTCTTCCAAAGGTCCTGAGTTCAATTTCCAGCAACCACGTGGTGGCTCATAACCAACTATGATGAGATCTGGTGCCCTCTTCTGGCCTGCAGGCAAACATGCAGGCAGAATACTGTATAAAAAATTAATTAAAAAAGGGGGGGTAGGAAATGGGGCCAATTAAACTTTGGCTTTTACAGCCATTGACCGTGGGGTTTGTAGCAGCCATTGGAACCCTGCCAGCTCCGTGGAGGATCCATGATGGCAGTACCCAGGAGTGCTGGAGAAGAAAAGAGGGTATCATGGCTCTTCAAAAAGTTCTGGACACCTTTAATCCCAGCACTTGGGGAGGCAGAGGCAGGGGGATCTCTGCAAGTTTGAGGCCAGCCTGGTCTACAAAGTGAGTAGAACAGTCAGGGCTACATACACAGAGAAACCTTGTCTCTAAATCAATCAATCAATCATCAGTAAAGTTCTAGAGGCTCTTAATTGTGGGGAGAGGAAAGTAGTAGAGATTCAAGGACTACAGGGTTAGACCTATAGACTGTGCGAAAACCATGATCATTTGGAGGTAGAGCTGGCGTGACCAGAAGATGTGGGTAGAGAACATAGTAGTTAGAGCCTTGGGGATGAAAGAAGCAAGCAGGCTATGGTGGTGGGTGGGAGAGTGAATTCTAAAGGCACAGCCTGAAATCTGGGCATGGTTGGACATGCCTACAGCACCAACACTCAGGAGGAGACCGAAACAGGAAAATCACTTCTAATTCAAGACCAGTCTGGCCTGTACAGTGAGTTTCAGGCAATCTGGGCTACCGAGTGATATCCTGTTTCAAAAATAACAAAGGCATAGCTTACGTACATGTGAGGACTGGTCCTGTCTGTGACTCCAGCTCCCCATTCTGTGTAAGGATTAGTGGCAGAAAGGTATGTGGTTTAGTGGCTACATCTGAGGTGATGACCAAGGGTTGGTACAGATGGGAGAACCAGGCAGATGTGGGCTGAAGGGAGCTATAGGAAAGGAGCTGTTACCATGCGAGCTTTTACATTTTCAAACAGTTACTATTTGTGTGTTTGAGTGACACCGTGTAGCTCACATGGGAAAGAAAACTTGCAGGAAGCAGCCATCTCCCTCCATCATGTGAGACCCGGGGTTTAGAATTCAGTTTGACAGGCTTGGCAGCAAGGGCTTTTACTTGCCCCTGGACATGAGCTTTTGGGGGCCAAGGGTGGAACTGCTTACCCTCAGCACTTAGAAGCAAGGCTGATTACCCTCTGGGTGCGAAGGACCTGTTTGAGAAGGTTCCTAAGAGCTAGACTCAACCAGGGGCCAGCCTATGGAATCAGTGCTGCTCACGTCCAGGGCCTGGGCACAGAAGCCTGGAGACCCTTGGTTGGGGATAGGGGTAAAGGGGTAGAGGGGGGTTGTTTCATTGGTGGGACTGGCCTGACAGCAACTCAGGGATGGTGGTTAGCCACAAAGAGAAGGCAAGAAAGTAGAGAAAGTCTAGGAGACGTGTGATCCACCCTGCCAGTCAGAGGCTAGTGCAGGTGCTAGCAGAAGGATCCTTAGAAGTTCCCTCAGCAGAGGAGGAAGTGCCCTGAACTACAGTCACTGGCTTAGCTCCTCCCTCTTTCCTTCCCCAAGTCAGTTTCACTTTTGCTTTCCTATATCTGGCCTTCTGACTGGGAAGGACAACAAACTAACCGACTAGCCTGAGTCAGCAGGGTAAGTGTAAATGTGGGGCGTTGGGGAGCAGCTAGAGGCATGGGAGAGGGGACTGAACAGGTGGAACGGGCCTCTTCCCTTCCCGTGTGTGTCATGCCAGGATTCTGATGGCAGAGGAGGAGGAGGTAGGGAGAGCCTTGGAGCTCCAGGGACTGCCCCCTGAAGTGCCAGATGAGTTGCTTACCCTCTACTTTGAGAACTACCGTCGCTCTGGTGGAGGACCTCTGTTGAGCTGGCAGAGATTTGGCTGTGGGGGTATCCTTGTCTTTCAAGATCCTGCAGGTGAGGAGGCTGGCTCAAGGGGGGCTGTCTAGGTGCGCTGAGGCTTTGCCGTCCCTGACGCCTCGTCTCTGCTCACAGATGCAAGGAGGGTCTTAATCCGAGCGGAGCACCAACTACATGGTGCCCGGTTGAGCCTGAAGCCAGCCCCGCCACGTGCCCCTGAACGTGTGCTTCTGCATCGACTGCCACCTGACACTTCACCTCAGAGCCTGGAGCAATACGTTCAGGCCCTGCTGTGCGCTGCGGGGCACCCCGTGCAGGCTTGCCATGTCCTGGCCAGTCCTCGGCAGGACTGTGCTCTGGTCCAGTTATCCATGCCCCTTTCTGAGGCAGGTGAGAGGCAGGGTTGGGGGCATAGCTTCTCGTTAAGGAAGGTGCCTGAGCTGATTCACATACTGTCCGCAGAGGTCTCTGCCCTGGAGGAGCAAACCCGGAATCTGCCCCTGAATGGGACCACAGTATCCTTGGCCTGGGTGCCCCAGACCCGAGCAGTACGTGTGGTGGACGGCGCTGCCCCGGTGGACACGTTGCTGTTGGAGCTCTACCTGGAAAACGAGCGTCGCAGTGGCGGGGGCCCCTTGGAGGGTCTGCGCAGCCTGCCTAAGCAACTGGGCACTGTTATCCTCTTTCAGCAATGGCAGGGTGAGTGGGATGATAAAACCAGCAGGACCCTTTCTCTATGCTAGAAACTCAGTGCGCTTTCTGTCTTCCATCTTCCTCCAGTGGCTGAACGCGTGCTGAAGCGGAAACACTGGCTACAGGGCTCTGAGTTGAGCCTGGTCCCCCACTATGACGTCTTAGAGCCAGAGGAGCTTGCTGAGGGCATCAGTGGAGGAGATCACCCAACCTTGCAGCAATCTGGAGTCATCCAGCATGCTCTTACAGGGGCAAGAGGGCTGCCAGGGGCCCTGCCTATGACTGTGGGCTCTGGGGGGACACCAGGACAATTAGGAACCCCACTAAAGACAGGTCTTGAAGGAGCTCCAGGACAAGCCATGCCAATCGACTCAGGGCCTGTGAAGTCTCTGGGCCAAGAGGAGCCTATAAACCTAGGAACTACGGTATCTCCAGAGCAGGCTGGTTTCATGAACCAGGAGATTATGGGGTCCGCAAGCCCAGTGGGTCCAGTAGAAAGCTTTACAGGACTCCCAGGTCAAGTAGGACCTATGATCTCAGACACAGAGGGAGTTGAGGGGCAGGAAAGCCTGGCGGAAGTTGGCACAAGCTCACCAGAGCAGGAGGGGCTGTTGGGTTTAGTGGGAATGGCCATGGAGTCTCCAGAACCAGGGCTGGAGAGCCCGGGATATGGGGAGCTGCAGAGGCAAGAGAGCTTGGTGGAGATGGTGATGTCAATGGACCCAGGGGCCATGCGTTTCCTGCAGCTTTATCAAGAGGACCTCCTTGCCAGCCTGGAAGATGTGGCCCTCTTCCCACTTGAAGGAGTGGACGTGACTGGCTTTCGGGTGAGCAGCCCTCAGAATCTGCTTCCTTCGCCTCTTCTGTGACTGGGGTCCGGGTACCTTTCCTGTGCTCTGAACCTGTATACTGTCCTCCTTATGGTCCCGCAGCTTTATGGGGCCAGGACCCCATGCCAGGCAGCTCAAGAGTTGCTGCAGAGTCTGCTGTGTAGCATTAGCTGCCACGTGCTGAGCATGAAGCACCCAGGCAGTGCCAGGTTCCTGCTGGGTATGGAGGGGCAGCGACTTCTTCACAGGCTGGAGGCTCAGTTCCAGTGTGTCTTTGGGACAGAACGTCTGGCCAGTGCCACCCTGGACATAATAGACCCTGAAAGGGTAAGATGGAGTTTTCCCTTCATCCTTTGGTCTAACACGCCAGACCTAGGTGCCTCCTGGGCCGTGACCCTGACATCCTCTTCCCACAGACGGATCCCACTGAGGCCCTCCAAGTCCTCCATGACCACAGGACAGGCAGTGATCAGGAGAACATGAAACTGGGTAGGGCTCCCTCGGGGCCATAGTATGTCCTGTAATTCTTTTCATGACAATCCTCTCCTTGCTCTGCCCTATCACTTATTTAGTGACCCTTTTGTGGCCTACCCGTAGCCACAGGTGCAATCTTTCTCTCTCTCTCTCTCTCTCCCTTGCTCTTTTTTTTTTTTTTTTAATCCACTTCAATTCATCCTGTCATTTGTCATCAGTCCCCTGGCTGGGCCTGACCCCTGACCCAGTGGCCTCTTTCTACCTTTAGAGGAAGTTCAAGAGCTGCTGGCTACCTTGGAGGGCCTACCTGGGGAGGACAGGCTGCCTCTGGAGATGGGGACAGAGAGACCTGGAGAGCAGTCAGAAGAGACCACCCTACAGCAGGAGGTGGAAAACCCCACACTTGAAGCTTGGGAGGAGACTGTGGCCTCAAACACAGGGCTAGAAGAGGAGGCTACGCTGCAGCTAGCTATCCACCGATCCTTGGAGTCTCAAAGCCAGGTGGCTGATGAGCGAGAGGCCACTGCACTAAGGCAAGCCCTGGCCCTCTCCCTATTAGAAGCAGAAGAGCCCCTGGGTGATGACACTGGGGGCAAGGCCCAGTTGGTAGTGCACACATCCTTTGAGCAGGATATGGATGAACTGAACCGGGCCTTATCCTGCGCCTTGGAGGAACACCTTCAGGAGGAGACAGTGAATCTCCAAGGCTGTGTGCTGCCCTCAGAGCTTGGGGCACGCCTGGAGAGGTGTTATGATGTGAGTGCTACCCTATGCGGTGACCGAATTGTCCTCCGTGGCTTTGGGGTCCAGCCTGCCCGTGCAGCTCGCCACTTAGCTGCTCTCCTTGGCCCCTGGGACCAGAATTTGACCTTTCCCTTGGAGGCCTCAGAAAACAACCGTGAGTCTGTACCTTGTACTTGGGAGGGTGGAATGGGTTGGCTTTTAGGCAAGTGCTGAGACATGGCTCTGATGTCCTTTCTTCCTGTGTGTCAGTGTCAGAGCAGGGGCTAAAAGATCCCTTGGGCAGGCTGGAGGCCCTGGAAGAGAATTCTAAGGAGTTCCAGGATGTGGTGCAGGCCTTTTATGACACCCTGGATGCTGCCCACAGCAGGATCAGCATTGTTCGAGTAAGTTCACATCCTCTGTGGTTGGCCTTGTGACCTGTGTACACTGTCCTTTGTATTAGGGTCAGTTGACCAAAAGCTGCTTAAAGTGGACATGTTGAAAGCTGATAGACTGGATTGCCACATTCATACATGGCTCCAGGAACTTGAACCTGACTGGGACCATTGAGGGACTGAAGAAAAGACAAACACACAGATACAAGGAATGCTGGGATACAAGGTCTGGCCTCTTAGATGGAGAAACTGAGGCGCCCCAGAAGCTGAATGTCTTTATTGTACAGAGCTGACCAGGAGGGGTGGGGTGTTGCATACAGCTGTACAAGGAGGCAGGGTAATTATATACAGATAAGTGAGGAGATAGGTTTAGCAAATCTCAGTGGGAGCAGTCACCGTGCAAGCAGTGCATATCCTAGGGGAGAAAGCTGTCACGGACATTTTCTGCACACGCCATCAGCATCCACGTTTGGACCAGAAGAAGATTTTGCCATGCCTCTGAGCCTCCCAGGTAGAAGGCTTTGCCAAGGTTCTGGGGTCCCTGACATGGCCGGCTCATGTCAATAACACCCACTTACTTAGGACTCCATTCACTCAGGGTTCCTCTGCTCCCTACAATAGATAAGCACCCCTTCTTTGCCCAGAGAACATTTAGAGTCTTCGGAAGATGGACAGAAGAGCATAGGGACTAGGGATCTAACGGGCCTGCCTGTCAATGCCACAGTTGCTACCATCTGGCAGACTATGTAAGGATTACTCTTCCTGTTGGGGAGGAGGTGGTTTTCTGTCTCCAACAGAGGCCTTTTCTGGCAAAGGGCCAACTCCTCATTCTCTCTGTGAAAATAAAATAATACATTTTTATGTGTGTGTAGAGCTGGGCATATAGGTTAGTGGGAGAAAAAATATACATATATGTGTGTGTTATATATTTATGGTGGCTGCTCCTCCTGTATTCTTGTTAAATTTGGCAACTATGAGCATGGACAAAAAACAAGATAGTACCAAGTAGTGGGGAGCCCGAATGAAGCCTCAGCCCCCCCCCCGCCACTTCCCAATCTGTCCAGGCAGGTGAGAAAAGAACAGAGGCAGGTAGATATCTGTGAGTTTGAGGCCAACCTGGTCTATGCAGTGAGTTCCAATCCAGCTGGAGTTATATAGTAAGACCTTGTTTAAAAAAAATAAAATAAAATAAAGGACTGTTGGGGAGAGAGGGACTGTCAGGCTAGTTTGCCACATGTGGCAAGGGAACCAAGCGTATTCAGGGAGTGACAACAGACACCCCTGGAAATACACTAAGGAGATGGAGAGTAAGCAAGAAAGGAATGCATGACCAACAATGACGACGGCCTTCTCATCCAGAAGGTTGAACGAACCCATAGATGAGGCCAAAGATGGCCGTAAACCTGTTGAAAGGGCAGGAAAGTTGTCAGTCTGCGGTGAGACTGGGCAAGGTGCTCTTCCCTCTTGATGCTAAAAGTTGTAGGTGGGGCTAGTAGCCTCGGTCTTCTTGTAGACATGCCTGAAAATGCAGAACTTCTGGTCTTCCCCAGAGGTTAAGAAGGTCACTGACAACTGTTGTCACCTATGACCATCACTGCCACAGCAATTGCCGTCCAAAAGTACCGCGGTCACGGTCTGCTGGTTCTGTTAGTAGTATTAATTTACTTGATTCTTCTAGTAAGTGTATTTATAACTTAAGATGGCACATTTGATGTTTTCTTCTGCTATTACTTTAGAGACGTTTTTGTTTTGTTTTGTTTTTGCTTGTCTGCTTATACAAAGAGGAATAGAATGGGTTTTCTTTTTCTGTCACCTCTTCCTCCTACCATCTCATAATTTGGTCATTTGCAATATTTAAATTATGTAGTTAAGGTGCATAAACCAACTTCACGTTATAGCCTGCATGCTTTGGCTTTATGTTGATAATGAAAAAAATACCTACCCTTGTATCACAGCCAGGTAATTGTTAACATATTTGGTAACACTGTGGGAGCTTTCAGGGAGGTGGTGGGGCTTGCCTTTAATCCCAGCACTTGGGAGGCAGAGGCAGGCAGATTTCTGAGTTCGAGGCTTACAAAGTGAGTTCCAGGGCTACACAGAGAGACCTTGACTCCAAAAACCAAAAAAAAAAAAAAAAAAAAAAAAAAAAAAAAAAAAAAAAAAAAAAAATTAAACAAACAAAGTGTAGGAGCTAAGGAGGTGACTCAGAGGCTGAGAGCACTTGTTACTTTTGCAGTGGGCCTGGGTTCAAGTCTAAGCATCAACATGATGGCTCACAACCATCTGTAGCCCAGTTCCAGGGAGCCAAAGCCCTCTTTTGAACTCTCCTGGTACTAGGCATGTGTGTGGTGTACAGACATTCTTGAAGGCAAAACATGCACATGAACAAAGACTATTTTTTAGAATGTATATTTTTTCAATTATTTTCTTTTAGTTTATGTAAATGAGTGTTTTGGCTGCATGCATGTCTGTGTACCATGTGTGTGCCTGGTACCCAAGGATGCAGAGGAGCATCATATGGTTCCTGGGAACTGAACCCACATCCTTTAAAAGACGAGCCAGCACTTTTGACTACAGAGCACTCCTTAAAAAAAAAAAAAAAAGAAAAAAAGAAAAAGAAAAAGAAAGAAAGAAAAAGAAAAAAAGTTTTTGTTTTTTTTTTTTAAGTAAAAAAATAAAACAAGAATGTTTGGAGCCTGGAGAGATGACTCAGTGGAGTTTGATTCCCAGTCTCCATGTTAGGTGGCTCACAACTGCCTGTCACTCCAGCTCCAGGAGATGACTGATGCCCTCTTTTGGCCTGTGAGTGTACCTACACACATACATACAAAAATTCAAACAACAAAATGTCTTCAAGAGGGAAAAACGAAACAAACACATACAAAAAACAAAACAAACCAAACACACAAAAAAAAAAAAACCCGTCACAACCCTGTGTGGTAGACTAGGAATGTAGTTCTGCTTGGTGGAGGGCTCCCTAGCATTCACAAAGCCCTGGGTTCTGTTTCTAGCAATGAACAGAAGGGACGCACTAATGCCACCAGTGAGGGGAAGGAGGAGGCAGCAGGGTGAGAAGGTCATCCCCAGCTACATACTGAGGTCAAGGCCAGCCCAGGGTACATGACGCTATGTCTCAAAAAGCAACAAGAAAATAATAAACATGCAAAGAAACAAATGAATAATGTCGGATGAGAGAATATTCTGGGATTTAGTGTCTCCTTTTGTTGTTGTTGCTGTAATTTTGCTTTCCTTGTTCTGAGTCATGCTTGACTTCTGGGCAAACTGATCTCTTGCCATCTTGATGCGCAGATTCTGCAACTGAATAGGAGCATTTCTGCGTGGGCAGTGAACATCTTGGAGTTTTAAGTTATAGTAACAACTGTGTGTATGGCAAGTGCTTGTAACCCAGGCACTTCAGAGTTAGAGACAGGAGGATTCCTGAAAGTTTGAGGCTAGTCTGGTTTACATAATAAAGGCTAGTCTGGGCTACATAGCAAGAACCTGTCTCAAAACCAAAAAGTACACATAAAACCTATTATAACTAGAGGACTGTTTTGCAACTATTTTATTTTATTGAGACAGGTTCTCACTATGTAGCTCTGGCTGTCCTGGAACTCATTATGTAGACCAGGCTAGCTTTGAACCCACAGAGATCATGCCTTCTCTGCCTTCTGAGTATTGGAATTAAAGGCATGGCTCTAATTTGATAGATGTAAACTTTCCATGATTTTTCATTTGCTAATTTGTCCTTGTTTGTCTTCATTATTATCTTGGCTGGAATATAGTATTTAGATTCCAAATATATTTTTTCTCACATTTATGAAGACATTGCTCTTCTCCCATCTTTATGTAGGTGGGTTCTGGGGCCTGGATTCAGGTTCTAGGCTCACACATCAAGGACCTTTACTTTTTGGGTCATCTTATAGCCTTCCATTCTTAAAAAATTAGAACAATCGATTGTTGTTGTTTTTTAAGATTAAAAAAACATGTGTTGTGCGGTGGTGGCATGTGTGGGTGGGTGGGATGGGAATTATGTGCACATGAATGCAGGTGACTGTGGGGGCCTCTGAGCCCCCTGGAGCCGGAATAACAAAAAGTTGTGAAAAACCCTGACTTGGGTGCTGGGAGTCAAACTTGGGTCCTCTCAAGAGCAGTGCGCACCCTTAACTGCTGAGCCATCTCTCCATCCCTGTGCATGATGATTTACCAACGTCTAGTATTGTTGAGAAACCCAGTGTGGGATTTCTTCCCATCTGTATTTGTATCCTGACCCTGGTGTGTGTGTACTTGAAAAGGTTTCTTCACTTCAAAAAGCTATAGTTTTCTGTTAGGTGCCAGGGGCATGTCTTACCCAGTGTCCTTGGCACTTCATGGTTCTCTCCATCTGGTGACATGGCCTCCATCTCAGGGAAACATCTTCCACTGTGATCCCAGGAGCACCACCTTCTCACGAACCGGAGCGTAGACCTTCTCCATCTGTGTCATGCTCTTGCCTGTCCTCTCATGGGTTCTTTCCCTTTCCCTTTAGCTCTGTTCTCAGCACCAGTTCCTTAAATCCATCTAGAGTACCACACAGCCGATCTTTAGCTTTAACCATTTCAGTATCTAGCCCACTCACAGAACAAGCTCAGAAATCCTTTCCTTCTCCTCTTCTTTTCTTCCTCCATCCCTCCCTGCTTCTCTTCCTCCCTCCCTTTCCTTTCCATTTTCTTTTTTCTTTTCTTTTTTTTCTTTTTTCTTTTTTCTTTTTGGTTTTTCAAGACAGGGTTTCTCCGTGTAGCTCTGGCTGTCCTGGAACTCTAGACCAGGCTGGCCTCAAACTCAGATCTGCCTGTCCTTTTGTCCTGAGTTCTGGGATTAAAGGTGTGCGCCACCACCACCTGGCTTTTCCCTTTCCTTTTTTTATCTGGGGAGCCAACCCACTTGCCAAGAAAACACTCTGCCCCTGCACCGCACCTCCAGCCTTGAAATCTCATTCTTAATGCCCTGCTTCTGATGTTCAGACTGCTTTTCAAAGCAGCTATTTCTGTTTTATGGGTGTGGTGTTCGTCTGCCTCCTTCTCCTGAAAGGTCAATTGGAATTTCTTTAGAAGGTCCGTTTGAAACCCCGAGTTTGTTCCTTTGGAGCTGAAGCTGTCTGAGTCTCCCAGCATGGAGAGGCAATGTCGGCTCCTGCTGAAGCCCGATTGGTGGTCCTAAGTTGAGATGAGTTGGGGTGGGCTCTGCCCACCTGCACGGCTCCCTGGAGGAGTCAGGCATCCCTGGAGGAGTTAGGCCTTCCTGGAAGCCAGTCCTCCAGTGCCATTTGTCCCCAAGAGGTGGTGAATGCATTCTTCCGGACAGAGCATGATGGGGGGCGGGGGTGGGGTTCATGTGTTCACTCAAACTCTCAATTCTTCCTTCCTCCCACCAGAGAGCTGGTGATTGCTGAGTTCAGCTCTCTTCTGGCCAGCCTAGGGAGAGGTTCCAGACAAACTCACCCCAGCTTCCATGCACTTGGCAGGTGGAGCGTGTGTCACACCCGCTGCTGCAGCAACAGTATAAGCTGCACCGGGAGCGCCTGATGCAGCGCTGCCAGCAACGCCCGGTGGAACAAGTCCTCTACCACGGCACGTCGGAATCCGCCGTGCTCGACATCTGTGTGCACGGCTTCAACCGCAGCTTCTGTGGCCGAAACGGTAAGGCCTGCGCGGGGCAGGGACGCGGGCCACACTGCCCCCGAGGATCCTTGGTGGCTCACCTGTCCTTGTCCGACAGGCACCCTCTACGGACAGGGCGTGTACTTCGCCAAGCGTGCCTCCCTGTCGGTACTGGATCGCTACTCGCCTCCCAACGCAGAAGGCCACAAGGCAGTGTTTGTGGCACGGGTGCTGACCGGCGACTATGGACAGGGCTCCCGAGGTCTGAAGGCGCCTCCTTTGAGGGCCTCTGGCCAGGTCCTTCGCTACGACAGCACGGTGGACTGCCTCCTCCAGCCCAAAATCTTTGTCATCTTTCACGACACCCAAGCTCTGCCCACTCATCTAATCACCTGCAAGAACATACCCCGGGGTACCCCCTGGTGAGACCCCCTTGGTCTCTTCCATCTCTTTCCTGGACATTGGGCCTGAGAGGCCAGCTTGTTTCCCTGCTCCACAAAGTTTCTAAGCGTTAGAGCTGCCCCCGGGGGCGCTCTTGTCTCTGACTGGAAAGCCAGGACGACTGTGGACTGGGGAGGGCCAGACCTAATCGGTTCCCTGGCCTGCTCCACCGCCAGGGGTCAGCAGAACACGGCAGGAGGGCGCGTTGCCAGGCACACCCGCGGTGGTTGGACCGCGCCCTAACGCGGCTTCTGTCTTTGAATAAACCTGTACTTGGAACCAGTTAGATTGAAGGACTGGTTGAAACTGGGAATCCGACCTCTGTGTGGGGAGTGGGGGCCACGCACGTGGCTAGGGACAGGGTCAGCTGTTCACAGAGGGGTGGGGGCGGCGGTGGGCAGTGGACCCAGGCGTCTGGACGCCCCGCGCTCCTACGACCTCACGCTCCCCAGCAGCATCTCCGTCTCCTCGCGCGCCGACCGCCTAGGTGTGCGCACTCGGTGGGCGCCGCCTGATCAGTCATACCGTGGGCTCCGGTTCTGCAACCTCCCGGTCCAGGACTCCTGGCTCGTAGCCCGGTCACGCGTGAATCGTTCGCTCGCTCTCGGAGGTGCCCAGGCAGCGAAGCTCTTGGTGGGACCGGGGCGGGGCTCTCGGTTCGCCCCGCCTGCGCTGCCTCCGCGGTTCTCCTGGCCCCAGGAGTCTGGCTGCGGCGGCTGTAAGGAGGCAAGCGGAACCACCAGGAGCGTAGAACTGGGAGGGTATGGAGAGGCTCGGGATGTATTGGGAGTTTGGGGGGAGGGTGGATGGGGGTGGGATGGTTTCAGACCACCCGGAACTAGGTGCTGCCCCGCAGCCCCTCTTGCTTTATGCAGAGAACGACACCTCCCTGGGATCAGGAAATTGCGGAACTGGACAGGAGGTGCTTGAGTGTGGGCAGAAAACCGCTGCGGCGAAGGCAGGCTCGGTTGGCGGCGGGGGTGGGGTGGGGTGGTGAAGCCGAGACAGCCACTGAGGGGCTCCCCCCGGTGAAGCGGGGTCGGAGAGGCACCAGCTCGAGGTCCGCTGACTCTTTCTCGGCCCTTGGCCTGAGGGCGAGGCACAGAGCCCACATTGTGCCCCCAAGCTATGCCACCCCCGCTGAGACAGAGCCCCATTCACCTCTTCGCACGCCAGTGCTCTTGGGGCAGGGAGCTGGGGCGTGTGCACGCCTGGGGAATGCGTGCGCTTTGGCTGCTCCTGCAAGTGAGCTGGTGGGTTGCTAGAGCTGCTGCCGGGCTCCCCCGGGCCTTGCGGCATCCGAGTTCCCGCAACCCACGCCGCTGCGGCTCCAGCTATTTATAGGCCTTTGCTGCAGAGATCGCAGAGACAGAGGTGGGACTGTGCGGGCTGGAGGTGAGGTAGAGTTGATGGAGAATCCTAAAAACCCGAGACTGGAGGGAGAATGCAGTGATCAGGGACTGGGGTTGAGGGTCCTTTTCTGAAGAGTGGGACAGGCAGTGTTTGCTGGTGGCCTCGTTGCCAGCCCGTTGGAGGGGCAGAAGAGGGGGAGTCCAATTTTGAAACGCAGGGAATGGAAGGGCCAGTTGCCCCTGTGACAGATCGCGTACTTGAAGGTAGTGCCCTCTTCCCCTCCGGTTTGACAGGTGGAGGGTGGAGTCAGAGACCTGTGTTGGGGGTGGGGGGCGGGGTGTGGGGATAGTCAGCAGTTAGGTAACTAAGAGACAGGAATGATGGTCAGCGTGTGTGCTGAAGGACGCGAGGATAGATTAAGAACAGGGAAGAGAGTGTCAAGCCTGGGATGAACACCAGGGGTCAGTGTGTGGGCAAGATGGGGCCTAGGAGGCTTTTGGTATCAATGTTTAGGTTAAGGAGGGGATAGGTCAATGTGTGACTCCCTCTTACCATCCCCCCAGGAGACCATGTCAGGGGAGGACTCCGAGGTTCGGCCAGCGGCAGTGGCAGAAGGTAGTTCCAATGGAAGCAGTGGCTCACCCAGCCCCGGGGACACACTGCCCTGGAATCTTGGAAAAACGCAGAGAAGCCGGCGAAGTGGTGGTGGACCTGTGGGCAATGGAAGCGTCTTGGATCCTGCCGAGCGGGCAGTCATCCGGATTGCAGGTAATGGGGAGGGGTCTGGTCCGCTTGCCTCACTAGCACGGGTGTTCAGCACCTTATTTGTACTGCTGGACTGAGGGAGAGGCCAGGACTGATCAGCTGTGAGGGAGGGCTTAGCCTGTCCCGGAACCTATAGGCAGCACAGCTCCACCTGCTGGCTCTACCTCGGTAGATACAGCGGTTGGCGGTCCTTTTACGTCAGGTCTGAGGCTTCCTGCTGTCAGTGGTCTCGAGGAAACAGGTCCAGGTGCCCACTCCCGTGAGAATAATTTCTCGGGCTCTGGAGGTCAAACTTCTTCTCCTAGTCTTGGCTGCCCTCTGAGGGGGGGGGGGAGCACATTGCTACCCGAAAGGAGAGGATGTTTAATCTGTGAGGGCCCTAGAACCTCCACGAGCCACGGTCTGAGCTTTCAGGAGCTGCCAGTCTGAGGATGGGAAAGACCCAGGTGAAAGGCACCATGGGAGGGCAGCAGGTGGTGGGAGGGTAGCGAGCTGCAGGGCAGCCTGTTCCTTTGGGAAGTGGGTCACCTAAGGCTGGAGGCCATTGGGTGGCAGGTCCTGAGAACGGGAGCCCTGACCGGGTTCCACCAGCAGGGCCCCCCTAGGGGATGGGGAGGCATTTGAAATGCGGGAGCTGGGTAGACTGAGAGCTGAATGGCCAGGGGCTGAGCATGGAGGTGGTACAGCATCCAGGAGCTTTGTTGGTGGAAGCATGGCAGCAGCGGAAAGGAACAGATAAGGGATGTGCCCTGCACCCTGCCTCAAGGACTATTCATGATCTGCATGCATATGCACACACACACACACACACACACACACACACACACACACACGAACACACTCTAGTGACTTTATGAAAGGGGTTATTTTCCCAGCTGGAGTCCTGAATACCTTTCTCTACCTCAGACCTTTAAAGACAGGGGTGAGGGTAAAGGCAGGGTACCTCAGCAGCCCCCTTTGCCAGTTGGGTGGTTTCAGTGTTCGCTGACCCTCATGCTGTAGCCAGCCCCACTTGCTGTCCTTTTTGTGCTCGCTGGTAGTTTTCTAGTGACTGGTTTCTAGACACAGAGCTTCTGCTCTGGTGAACACAGTGGGTAAGGTTTCCAGGAACAGTGCCGGGTCGGTCGGTTGGGAAAGGAGGGTGTGTCAGTGCTGGGAGACGGGCCTGTGTCAGATGGATGGGTAGAAAGGGACTTTTTTTTTTTTTTTTTTAAATCACTAGGGTGTTTACTTTTGTAAACCGTGTACTCCGTTCCTCTTATGTGCGACTGTTTTTTTTTTCCCCTGTGTTCTAAGGGCTTCTTACATTTCGGAGATATCCCACTATATCTCCACTGTTATGGCCGAGGAAAGTTGTAACAGAAAAGGAGGGAGAGAGCCAGGCAGGAAGAGCCTCGCTCAGGTGGCCAGGTGAAGTTGCCGGGGGCGAAGGAGTTGGAGCAGTCGCGGCTGACCTAGGGAAATGGCCACCTTAGGCTGAGTTCTGGGTAAGGAGGGCTAGCCTGTCAGCCGCATCTGGTTCCCGAGCAGGCAGGGAAGTGTTTGCAACTGGTTGTGTGTGTGGGATCAAGGCTAGGGTTCCCGCGAAGGGGCGCCACGCAGCGGGTACAGCTACCGGGCAGGTCCCCGGCTGTCCGGCCCGGCCCCGCCCCGCCCGTGGGGCATCCTGGGTGCGGGGCGGGGCGGGGGAGGCCCCTTTAAGCCGTGCGCGCGGAGGCGGCGGGGGCAGAGCGGCTGCCAGGGCTGGCCTTGCGCAGCGGCCCGTTGCGTTCTGCTCCCGCTGGCATGGCCCATCTGCTGACACCTGGCCCACCACCCAACGAACAGGACTTTATCCAGGCCTATGAGGAGGTGCGGGAGAAGTACAAAGGTAGGGAGCCTCTGGCCCCTGTCCGCCCTTCGGGCGCGCGGGCCCCTCCAGGTTAGACAGCCTGACAGCCGGCCGTGTCCCCAGCTGCTGTCACCGACCGTTTGTCCCAATAGAGTCCAGTCAGTCGCCGCAAGTCTCACCAGCCTCGCTCGCTCCCTGCAGCCTTTGGGGCCCAGGGAAAGGATAGATGCGCTCCATTGAGCCCCCGTGTCTATGACCTTAATAGGACATCTTGAGGCACGGGTGGGTGGGGTGGGCCCTGGTGGGGGCGGATGGCTGTGTGTGTATGAAGCCGGGCTTGTCAGGGTTCCACAGTCTAGACCAGTGTCTGCTGCCTTTACCCGGCAGACACGTGGGTCACGGTTAAGCCATCCCCTGTCTCTCCTCTGGGGCAACTGCCTGTGTGGGGTGGGGGTGGCTGCTACCGCCTGGCAGTGAATGGCATAGCTGCTGCCTCTCCTCACCTCCCCAAACTGGCCAGGGCTGAGCCACACCCTCCCTTGGCAGGGAGCTCCATTGCACCCTGACTTTGTCCCTTGAAAAATAGCCCCTTCTTGTCCAGAGGAAACCTCAGAGTGTCCATCCAGTCCAGTGTGTGGCTTTGGCAACTTATCTGCTTCATGACACCCCCCCCCCAGCCCTGGCCCTGCCCAGGTTCGGGTCGCTGTCGGTCACTCAAGGCCCAAATGCTTGCCTCTGGGTTGGGGTCCGTGAGTTCTACCCAGGCATGAGTCTGGTTGTACCTCCCAGCCCTCAGAGACTTAGAGGCCGGCATATGTGCCACCAGGGACGATTGATATGGAGGGCCCAGGCAGAGCCCAACAGAACAGGTTCCAGCTCCACATGGCTGGTTTTGCTGGCTCTGCCCCCAAGGGCAGCTCAGGGAGAGAAGTCTTGCTGCAGCTTTGCCTGGAGCTTGTGGTACCGCTCCACCCCATACCTTATCCAGGCAGGGTAGGTTTCACGTGCTCTGGGCACAGTGGGTGTGCCGTGTGTGGTTCTGCTAGTTCTGTGGCTGGCCTGTTTGCTCATGAGCATCAGGTAGAGATGTCCCTGGGGCCGTGGGCTCTGGAGCCTGACCACTGTGCCCCTGGAGAATCATTTGGAGGGCTGGCTTGATGTTCACTCCTAGAGGGGCTACCTGGGAAGGTAAGGAAGGCAAGGAAATAGTCGTCTGTCTGGGCCACAGCCTTCCTGGCATCCTCCAGGATAGTACTGTGTAAACTAGTATTGATGATGCAGAGTAGTGCCTCTCAAACCTTCCCTGTCTGGTCTGTTTGCTGGGCTACATGGTTCAG